ATTAGGCCTAATGTAATGGACAACTCTTTCTTTCTTAAGGAATATCTAAAAATGTTTATTTGCATTACCCATTTGATACCTGAACAGGTGACTCAAGCAGTTTTACAATAATGATTGTTCTGTGGAACTATTGATTGTTTCAAACAGTTTTGCTTATCAAAAAACCTCAAGTTGTTAATACATAAAAAAATATACAGTCACTAAAAATCATGAAATAATTTATTTTTGTAAAAAAATACAACCGACTTCAAACGCTCTAAAAAGAATGAAATAATTCCAATAAAGTAAACTTTTGTATTAGGCAAGCTCACGTATTTCAAGTCGGCGCGGCTCAAACTGCAAATATGATTGAAATTAAATATTGTGTGTGATTTTGAAAATCAATTAATTGTAGCTGGATAACATAAATAATATAAAAAAAACATACTGAACTGTTTTGTTTATATATTAAAGGAAATATTTTCTTGTATATTATGTTTACTTCAGAATAAATGCATTATGACAATAACACACACAAATGTTCTATATGAATAGGAAAATAATTTAGTTTGATATTATGATAGGGAAAAGAAGCTAGTTTAGTATTAAAACGTTACTTTTCCAAGTTAGAAACATTTAAATGCGTTATAATCTTTTTAAAGATACTCGTTAATACTATAATGCCGATCTCTGATTACGGTAATAAAATAACCCTTAACGCATTAACTATGAAAAAGACATGCAGATTAACACCTTTAGTTATAGATAGTCACCTGCAATATGGACACCCTCTTTCAATTTTGTATCAAAAATCATCATAGAGCCGCGCCGATTTAAGATACGTGAGCTTGCCTAATACAAAAGTTTACTTTATTGGAATTATTTCATTCTTTTTAGAGCGTTTGAAGTCGCTTGTATTTTTTTACAAAAATAAATTATAGATGAGTACGGTAACGCCAAATCCTGAACATATAAATCAACAAATCCTAAATTAACACATAGACTTATTCACGTCTTAAATTTAAATTGAAGATTCCACAGCATTTTAGAGTTTAAAGATTTGTCTAACTCTTCTAAAATGTTAACATTAAAAATTTGGACGTCCACGGGGAGTAACCAGATATGACTAGGCCTACGTGTTAGGTAGGCCTACTGTAATTGGGTTATTAGAAATTATAGATAAAACATAGTCTCTCAGCTATTAACCTACAAAATCAGAGTAGGTAGTTTAGGTGTGGTTGAAAGAACTGGGCGCTGGGAGGCAAAACACGATAATTCCTCGGACGATTCGGTAACGGGGATATTCCCCGCGAGCCGGGTAGATGCAGGGAGACGTCCGCTCAATTACCCACCCGAACCAGTTTTGTCCGCCTCACGCACTGTCCGCCTCAAGCACGTCCGGGGGAAACACGGCACCTTGACTCCATGCCCTCTACACGTCCGACACCGGCGGCTCCACTAGCTGCGCCACATGTTGCTCAAGGCTAATAGGGGCCTTACTTGAACTTAAAGAAACATTTCGTTAAGTGCCAAGAAATTAATCACGCACCTACCTACATAAATAACAGTATTTTTGTCATAAATAAATAAATGTAAAAATTAATAAAATAACACATCAACACATGATTATTCTGATTGCTTATTACATACCTTATAGGCCTACATTGCTTGTATTACAGAGTCGTTATTGTTTTATCAATCAAATGTCTTGGATTGTAATGAAATCATTTCTCGAAAATCATATTTAAAATATTTTTTTATCAAATGGTTTTAACGATTATACGTACTTTAAACCACAACCTAGCAAGGCTCAGTCCCCCGGTACTAAAAACTTAAAATGCGTGATATCATTGACTATATATACCTACAGGTAGGTATATATAGTCAATGGTGATATTTATAAGACCAATGTCTGTTCAACAAAGAGTAATTATTGAGCACCTGACATCCATCAGCAATATGGTATGTTCTTTTCCGACGAATCAATTGGCCAAAACATTGGCTGATGTGTTAACATTTAATAAAATGCATTTATAGATCAAAAGGTATTTATTTCCCGTGCTATTGCCGTTAAAAAGCACGGGTACAACAGCTAGTTATCAAAACATAGACAAAAATACATTAAGAAAGTGTTACCATACTAACAACATAATACATTGTGAAAGTTTGTGTGTTTGTTTTTCTTATTGGGGTTCAATCACTCACTGGTCGGATTAGGTTGAAATTTGGCATGCTGATAGCTCACTTTCCCGATTAAAATATAGGCATATTTTTATCTCAAAACTCATTTCGTGCTCCGCCCGACTCGATTGTCCGTTAGAGTTTGGATTTGCAACATTGTATTTTACAAACAAAGACAATTAAGGTCTATATCAACCTATGATTACATTTGAGCACTTCTTCTTTATATCATAAGTTTCTTCTACATCTGTATTATAATTCAACACAGGATTTACTAATTTGAAATATACGATACAGCCTATGAAATAACTACACCTTAGAGAAACAGATTGGGCAAATTTGTTTACTTCATACCAAGCTATCAATAACATACACACCAAATTATCTCCCCCCTGTAACAGCAAACCTAGGTACTCATTGAAATTAATAATATTCATATAGGAAATATTTCTTACAATTACTAGGGAAGAATTTAGTAGAATTACAGCAAGGTAAATGGAAAATTGGTTTCTCTGCAGGTTCACTGACGCGGGAGTATTTTAATTTTACGGGAGGCAGTACACAATAATGATATCTTACTCATCATCATTGGCACAACCATTACGGATAATTATTATTATTACCGTAACATAATTAAAGAAGTAACTAAATCCAAAAAGATTACACAAACAAATCTATATATTAATATGCAAGCATGTTTCTTTAAAACCTTTTTTCTCAGCTCGTGTGCATCGCAGGGAAAATCTACGCATACTGTTGGAAAGATATTTTCCTGTAGATGTGCAGAATGCCTTTAAAAGTTAAAATAGGCTAACAAATAAACACAAAAAATTAATTTGAAAACTTCAAAAAATTAACATGGACCATATGGGTTGCCTTGATGGTGACGAAATAACAACAAAATGTAAACAGAAAATCAAAACAAATGGAAGAAATTCCAATCACATGTTTTATTTACAGTGTGGGGAGAAAATAGAGAAGTCTGTACATTAATTATTTTTGGTCGAGTTTCGACCACAGGACGATCACTAGTTTACTTAATTACGTAAAAAAAAGTATATATCATAAAGCATTTCTTATGCTATATGATATTTATGGTTATACCATCGCAGGTGAAGCCGAAGGTACTTGCTAAGTAATTAATAACCCTTACATTGACATTGATCAAACAAAAGCCATGAAATGATTAGGGATATGCCTCAGACCCCAAATGAACGAAGGGTAAAAATTTGTTGAGTATATAAAAAATTTCGTATAAATATAAAATGCAAATCAAATAATTTGCATACTACTTTTTAATGTATTTAGTATCAGACACAAACAAGAGTTAGAGTCAAGAGTTAGTGAATTATTGAGTTAATTCAAGACTTGTATTATTGAATTGGTATCTTTCAATCATAAAGTCTTTAAAGTCTAGCATTAAGTCTTTCGATCTAAGATTTTAAATTCAGGGATTATGATTTAGTTACATACATCAACATGGCATCAACCGATATACGCCGTCTGCAATTATGGTGCCTTGTTAGAAGGCAATCTATATATACCACAGTGAGGCAAGCAGTATTTGACAAATACGGGAGTTAGAAACTGTATGAGGAAAATTAAGATTTCCTAAACAAATTGGGCTGTTATCTAGATACATATTTTACTTTATAAAAAGATAAGTTACTTCAGATAAATACAGTATAAACCACAAAGTAAACTACCTATTTGTTCCATAATACTTAATTCTATGTTCTAATAGCAAAAAATAAAATGTTAGCCTACTCAGAGTATTCTCAGAAGATTAACTCTTCTATTAGGAGTATTTCATTCCATCTATGTTTGATAATATTGTTGTCATGATGGTTAAATTTTAAAAAGGAGATGTAAAAAAAATTATCATAGCATATATTTAAGGCCAATACATACGCTAAGAGAATTGTAAAACTATACAAAGAGTGCTTCAAAGGGCATTTTGATACTCCATTGATAAAATACAAACAGTATTTTATTAATTGCCTTTACGTGATATAAATTAGAACAAAACTAAAATTAATTAAAAACTCCGTTATACTTAATGGCTAATTTATGTGACAATATTTATCTAACATAGAGCGAATTAAAATGTTGTTTTTAAACATTGTCTGAATATACGTCTTAAATATGATGTTGAAATGGTTTTTGGACAAAAAATACACACACCAAATAAGTAGTTTGGTTACTTTTCTATACAGATCTAAACTCGAGTGTCTAAACTTTTCCCCTGACTTAGCAACGCGGCTGGTTACGGCGTTCATCGCCTTCAATCTTAGAGACGCAACAGTTCTAGCATTTTGGATGTTCTGATCTGACTAGTAGCGTTTTGGAAATTCCGACCCGACATACGATCGCAAGATCCAAAGTGAAAAGGACAGCCTATTTCATAAGTTTACTTTAAGAAATAAATTTGTACTTCTAGTTATGACTGTACTTTTGGATCTTACGATTTTGGAACTTCCGATCGGCAATATTTTCTTTGGATCTTTTGATTTTGGATCTTCCGACCCGCTAAATAACCTTTGGAAATTCCGATTTTGGAAGATCCGATCGGCAATATAAACGTTGGATCTTTCGATTTTGGAACTTCCGATCGGCAATATATTCTTTGGATCTTCCGATTACCAACTTGATATGTGATTTAAGTGAAATGGTACCTAGGTGAAAGGTTGCCTAAAAGAAGGCCTCCCAAAAAAGTATACATGAATTAAATGTGCTTGTTTTTTTCCTTCCGTCATGCGCGTGCTAGTTCCTGTTCCTGATAGGCAAGTCAGCTCAGCTGTTTTTGACACTGGAGCAACGGGACCCGTATAACGAACATATGTTTCGTTGGAGGTTAGTTTTTCAATTTATTCAATTCCAGTGTTGTTTCGTTTTCCGTCTGCTCTGCTGCAACAACAAACGAACCATGAAATCACTTCTCAGGAGGAGAAAGCTCTAACTTAAATAAAATTCTGTTCAGGTAAAGTTGATAATGATAACTATAATTATAATTAATTTAGTAAGTACTATATTATTAAAGAAAAAATTGCATCAGTATTCCAGTGATAATTTATTATAACGGTTGCCCTGTTTCTGTTAGACATGAATTTTAACCTAACAATAAGGATACAATTATAATTTAGGCATCCCTCGATATTTCACATTCATTAACTATTTTATTTCTCCATCTTTCGTATGATACCACTATCACAACTTTGTCTTTTTGTATAGTTTTAGGTAATTTTTGATTGTAGGCCTACACTCCAATCATCATCAGATCCAATACATTTAAGTGAGTCATATACATTTTTTGTACACAATCAAAGTCAATCCTTGAACGGTAGCCTACTAGATCCAATATTGAGCAGGGCATGTTTTAGTTCAGTGATTTGCTCATACACAATGCATTTTAATAAGTTATGTAAGTTAGAAGGGACCAATTTTTAGGCTAAGTTGCATCTTAACTTACCGGTACATCTTAAATCGGCTATTTCCAGCTATTCCAGTTGAGGTTTCTTTACCATAGGTTCAGACAACCATCTGACTTAGGCAGCACAATTTCAAATTGAAAAATACAAGAGGTCACGTACACTTCTGTCACAAAATATACAGTAGGGAGCCTAACTTACTAGCAGAGAAATGAAATGAAATGAAATGAAAAATCATTTATTTATACAGGCAAAGTTAGGGCCACATGGCCCTTTCTTACAGTTAACCTGTACTTTAAAACATAATATAAATATTTTAACATAATATTTTAACATAAATATTTTAGCAGAGTACCCGTCCTTCGAGGTTGACACATATTTGTCAAGGGCTTATTGCTGTAATACCCTTGCTTAACTTAGCGTTCACAACACAGTGAGAACACGGAAAATTGGGTCCTTAAAATTTACACTGTACAAAATAGTAACCGGTACACATCCGCCTGCCATTAATTTTGGGGACAAAATTCAATTACCACTACCGTCACCTCTAAGTTAATTGTCAAACTTTTTTTCATTTTTTAGTGAATTTCCCATATAAGGAATAAGCTATTACTGTAGGTCTCATGGTAGCCTAAGTAAAAACCATCAGATTTTGAAGTACGGTAATTTGGTTATAAAAACATGTAAACATGTGACGTTTATTCTAACGAGTTTCCAAACCAGCAAGAGTGGACTATGAGAACAGGGTTTGATGGGATAACAGTTGGTTTTCCTATTTTAGACCCACATAACATAAATTTTGCTATCTTGTCCAAACCATTTTCTAAAGCATAAAGAAACAAATAAGTTAGGTTAAGTTAGTATTAGTAAAGCACTATTGTCAGTGTCAAATGGTTACAGAGAAAATAAAATAAACTGTTTAAATTATAAATTCTCAAGTTATTCTTATAGAGAACTAGCTGAGTAGGGCCTACTCGTCCTGTGTAAGGAGTTGGCGTTTAAGTATAAAATGCGTATTGCAGTTATACTTATGCTTTGCGTTTGCAATGGGAGAGGACACGGTTTAAGACAGTTTGGTTCTTTTAATGTACGGTATGCTATAGTATAGCACATCCTAAGTTGCCATGTAGCGTTAATGTTTTACTATTGCACCTAAACAATAAAAAAAGTGAAATTCTCATAAAAAAAATTAATAGTGCTGCACCATGGTGGTAAACCTTAATACCTTTATAATGCTATTTTGATATCATAGAACCAACTTGTGTGGTTTAAACGGCTGACAAAATTCTTTTATTCCTTTAAAATATGAATACTCCTAAGGTTAACATGGGAAAATCCAGATCCACTGGTGCGGAGCCCGAAAGGATTTTTGAGATAAGAATATGTCTATATTGGGAATGTGAGCTATCATAACACCAAATTTCAGCCCAATCCGACCAGTATTTTTTGCATTTAGCCTACTTGTCACAAATATCTATCCATACCGGTACATCCAAACTTTCTCACTTATAACATCAGTCACATATTTATAGGGGTTTCATGATAAAACTTTAGTTTAATGTTCTAACTAATACATATAACTATCAATATTTGATCTTATGCATACTCCTGAGAGTATGTGTAACATTATTAACCGTAAGTTTAATTTTCACAGCAGCTCCATTGGCAGTCGCTTGAGGCCAGTGGCCAGTTGGACTTTCATGATGGACTTGTCAACTCCTGAAGAGGAAGACTTTCCTGGTAGATTGCTACATCAGGTCTGTACCAACAATTCTCACAATAGCTTAACAATTTCAATTATAGAATAAATCAACTGTATGGATAACAGCTACTTTAAGCCCTTTGTAATATTAACAAAGAACGTTTTTTGGCTTTTCTGGCTTAGCTAAAATCCTTCTCTTTATACAATAGGCTTGAATTAAGATAGGCCTACACTTAAGTTTTTGACTAGCCTACTACTTTTATTAAGACCATTTCATACTAAACACACCATGTGAATGCACAATAACTGGAAATGTGAGCTTCTTAAAAGTGATATACTTACTGATAAAACCAGTAAACCCTACTGTATTCAGTTGTTTACGATATTCAATATCCATTACAGAACATACTCCCCATCGTTCACACTATTATTTTTTGTATCGGTAGTGTTTGTTGTACTACCATTAAAAGAAGTTAAGTTCTGTATTTATTTTAGAAAGTACGCTGTGATTAACTCACAGCCATTCCAGCCATTTCTGTATAAAATAATAGAACAATACTGTGTCACAAAAAACTATGAATTTAAGCTCAATTAGTGAATTTCCCATATAGGGAATAAACTATTACTGTAGGTTTCATTGTAAGACCTAGACTCGGGACCGATTTACTTTTTAGTTTTATGTCTCCAGAGGCCAAAAAAACCATCTGTTCAAATTCATATATTTGGCCTTAATATACAAGTTTGAAAAATATATGTCCGTTAGCACAATAACTCAAGCAAAAATCATCCAATCTTGATGAAATTTGGTACCGCACAAACGTGTTGGCTAAACTTACATTTATTTGAACAAGTTCCAGAACCAGCATGATCAGACCATGGGAACGGGGTTTTATGGGAGAAGAGGTTTTTTTTATTTCAAAACTCTAAAACATAAAATTTCTAAATTTTTCTTCACACTATCTTATAGATCTTAAAAAACAAATAATTTAGTATTTTGGAGTGTTTGTGTACGGTTGTTGGCTACGGAGAAAATAAAAAAAAAATTTAAATTCCTATGTTATTCTTATGGGTACCTAATCACTAAATTATTGTAGTTTACTTGTTTATGGATATATTTGTTAATCAAACTTGGCAAATTTATTTAATTTATACTATAAGCTATTAGGTACTATTTAAAAAAAAACACTAGCCTATTACCCTCTCTATAACTACAAACCTAGACCTAGCTACTTGTTAAATTTAATGTTGAAAATGTGAAAATCAAATCAAGCAAATGAAAATTCGCTTAGTCTGCAGGATTGCTGTAGCAGGGTTTTTTAATACTTATCTCATTATTATAAAATACACATTTTATGTCTTTTTTGTGTGTAAATTTGCAATGCATTTTTATTACACAATTATTAGGAACAAATTAGTTCCTCTAAAACAATTACAGTTGGCATCATGATAAGGTTTAGAAGGGATTCTTTTCTAAAGGAACAGGTTTTAAAATTAAATCAAATGAATAATTAGAAACATTAGTTTACTTACAGATGGTTCTTTAGGTGAACCATTCAGATGAATCACTGAGAGTGCCCCTTTTATAAGTATAGTTGATAATACAGTGATAACTTGCGGACTCACGTGACCTTGTTTACAGACCAGCTCTGTTGGCAACTTGTCTAATGAGATTCAGTTTAGTTGAAACAAACAGGTAGGCAACAGTCAAACAAACCAATGAAAACCAACTCATAGGTTTTAATAATCAGTGGTATTTTTTATTTTATTTTACTACAATAGCTTGTTTGAATGGCTTATGATTTCCAGATCCATGAAGTAAGTCATATTAAACCTAGTTTTTGTCTGGTTAAAAATTGAGACTGAGCTTTAATCATTCTCTGATGAAAACTATTATTGATATTTGGTTTTTATTAGAACTGTTTAAGTACTCTTCTGAATTTCATATTAATTCATTTTAATTTAAAATGTAATTACTAATGATTAAATAGAAAAGAAAGAATATTATTTTAAATATCAACCTAAATTACTTGGATTGGTTTTGAAAATTATTGCTTGCACATAGAGATTAAGTCTACATCCAGGTTATGCTAAACGCCCAAATAAGCTTATATCCAAAACCTATAAATTTGACAAAAAAACAACATATTTTATATAATACATTTACACAGATGCTCTATGGTATAACACAGTTTGATATTCAGTGAAATTATGTTGTGATTAATCATACACGGAGGTGTAATCTCCAACACTTGTAAGATCAGCCTAGACTGAAGAGTTCACCATAGCAGCAAGGGTGCCGCTGATTAATATGAGCAAACCTGTATCGGGTTCCAGGAACCAGGGTAACGGTCATCACCTGTAAACTGTTTATATAAAATGCTTGTTTCTATAAAAAACATGTTTTTGGGCTTTCTTAAAGCTATAATTCTCTTTCAAATACATTCTCATTATACTTACTTGTCTCTGCAATCTGTATGTGATGTTTAACTGTAGCCTAATCAAAACAATGTACAACATTTGATGTATTTCCCAGTGGTAAGAACTAGAATATTTGATTATTGAACGTTTGTTACCTTATAGCCTTTGTTCTTGTAGAAAGATGTTAAAATCCTCCAATATATTTCGCCACAGTGTGTGGCATCATCAGGGAGACGAGAAGATCTATTTACACATTTATTTTCACCATTTAAACTATATATAAAATGTGTAAATAGATCTTCTCGTCTCCCTGATGATGCCACACACTAAGGCAAAATATATTGGAGGATTTTAACATCTTTCTACAAGAACAAAGGCTATAAGGTAACAAACGTTCAATAATCAAATGTACAACATTGATGATAAATTTACCCTAAAAATGTAACATTTTAAATAATAAATTATGTAGGTGCAAAGGTAGCCCTGTTTGTTGTTTATAATTATCAAAAAGCTTTCACCAGTCACTTGTTGCAACTGGAATAAGCTTTTACTGTAGTTTTTATTTTTGTTGATTTGCTGTGTTTCCACACTGACAATAGTCACAGGCAATAGCTCAACATCTTCCTATTAGGCTCTCATCCTCATCCAAACAGAACTTATTAATTATTGATATTCAACTAGTTGATATTCATTTAGTTATTAAATAATTTGGTTCTTTTGGTTATGTATTACACCTCAGTTATTTTTTTACTAAAAATAAACCACACTGATTTTGGGACACTTTAAGTTATCCAACACAAAAAAAAACTTTTTAAATTTTGTGTTACCACCCACGAGCCATGCCTTCCTTCCAAACCACATTAAGAGGTGATAAAAATATCATAACATATGATTGGATGGGTTGCAGGCAGCTCTGTGGGACAATGCAGAATTGTTGGAGGACTTGTTTAGAGGAGATCAATCTTTCCATATCAACAGCCAGGACTCATTGTTACTATTGTTAGACAAGGTATATATCTGATGATTGGATGGGTTGCAGGCAGCTCTGTGGGACAATGCAGAATTGTTGAAGGACTTGTTTAGAGGAGATCAATCTTTCCACATCAACAGCCAGGACTCATTGTTACTATTGTTAGACAAGGTATATATATCTGATGATTGGATGGGTTGCAGGCAGCTCTGTGGGACAATGTGGAGTTGTTGGAGGACTTGTTGAGAGGAGATCAATCTTTCCATATCAACAGCCAGGACTCATTGTTACTATTGTTAGACAAGGTATATATCTGATGATTGGATGGGTTGCAGGCAGCTCTGTGGGACAATGCGGAGTTGTTGGAGGACTTGTTGGGAGGAGATCAATCTTTCCATATCAACAGCCAGGACTCATTGTTGTTACTGTTGTTAGACAAGGTATATATCTGATGATTGGATGGGTTGCAGGCAGCTTTGTGGGACAATGCAGAGTTGTTGGAGGACTTGTTGAGAGGAGATTAATCTTTCCATATCAACAGCCAGGACTCATTGTTGTTACTATTGTTAGACAAGGTATATATCTGATGATTGGATGGGTTGCAGGCAGCTCTGTGGGACAATGCGGAGTTGTTGGAGGACTTATTGAGAGGAGATCAATCCGTCCACATTAACAGCCAGGACTCATGGGGACGCACAGCCTTACATGCAGCAGCCACTACAGAAAATTCCCGTTGTTTGAGAGTCCTCTTGCAAGCAGGAGGTATGATACTTATATTTAATTTTTTTAGTTTATTAGGAAAATTAGAATAGATATGATAATTTAAATATTTTTGACCTGTTTGTCCTTTTCTAGTGGATATGATTTTATATGATGACCAATTCGAACTTCATGCTCCATTTTACTACTAACCTCTTTTTAAGTATATTATTTAAAAAACCACTTTACAGTTTTTAAGAAGGATTTTATCCTCTCCAATAACATTATATTTTATATTTTTACTCTGACAAGGCAGATATATAGGCCTAATTAATAATTATGTGTATTTTAAGATTAAGAGAATCAATAAGATAGCAGTTTTGTCAAGGGCAAATGTCAGCTAGTTCTGTAGCCAGAACCATTTACTAAAATTCCTGAATCTTTTTGCTCATGTTGCATGTCTTAGCAAATATTCTTTTATAATATTCTTATATTTTATGTAAAATAAAGTGAATAAAGTTAGTACAACACAGTAGAACTCCAACTATCCAAACTCCACCTATCTGTATAGCTGATTCTCTGAATCCCCTACAGAAAGAATCTAAAAACTTAAAACTACAGTAATAAGAATTGTTGAAGCTTGAAGCCGTGATCAAGGCTAAATCCAGGTCTCACAACTGCCCAGAAGCTCTCATAAGCCCCGTGTACACGTAGCTAGTTTACTAGCAGCTAGTATTCGCTGCTAGCACTAGCTGGGCACACTAGCGCGAAAATTCTCATCTACACGTGGCTAGTTATTAGCGCTTATTATTAACGCTAGTCATGTAGAAGTGAAGTGTTCATTGGTCGCAATAGTCATTTCAGTTTAGCACAAAATGTTTTCTGTTCCCTTAAATCGAAATGTTTTGAGACAAATTTTAAGAATTAGTGTACAAGAGTTGTGTGAACATGAACTTAATAAAAAGAGACGATCTGTGCGGGTTCGAAAGTGGATTAGGAGGCGAGAACTTCTTGGTGCGTCCAATTCTCTTTTAAGAGAACTGGCATTGGAAGACCCTACAGAGTATTTTAAGTTTTTGAGAATGGATGCTTTAAAGTTTGAAGAGCTGTTGGAAGTAATCACTCCACTGATTAAGAAAAATTATACTGTTATGAGAGAGGCTATAACGCCAAAAACTAAACTTCAAATAACTCTGAGGTATTTGGCAACAGGAGATTAATTTTCTTCTTTACAATACACAAACTGGCCACAACATACATGTTTGTTCTACCACAACAACACACACAACAACAAACTGATCACCGGCGTGTGGCGAGTGGCAATTAGCACTAGCAGAAGTGCAAATGCCCCGCTAGTACCGCGCTAGTTCGCTAGCGCTAGTGGTCACGTGACCACCCCCTCCATTTATTAGCGCTAGTAATATCAAACATGTTCAAAACGACTAGCAGCGAGTAAAATGCTAGCGCGCTAGTAATTTTTTACGCTAGTAGACCGTTTACACGGAGCAAATTTACTAGCGCTAATCAACTAGCTGCTAGTACTAGCCTCGTGTACACGGGGCTATACACACAGTTTGAGATGTAAAGTTCCCAGATGTTAGAGGTTATGTTTGGAACTTAAAAGAGCTCAATGCAATAAAGAAAATTGAGTATCTGAGGCTATATTATGCATCTTTTTAACTTTAAAATATTGGAATGATTTTTTAAATATTAGATGCTTCATTGATGGAAAGGTCAAATGATAGTTAACAAATTATTTATGTTTGAATTATAGCCTAATAATATGTTACTGTAAATTAGTTCATTGTAATTTTGGTATAAAATTTGGCTAAACTCCAATGCAACTGTATACGCACTTATGTTTATTTACAACAAAATGGAAATAATCTTTAACTTCTCTTTTCAGCTAATCCAAACATTCCATGTGGACCAAGAGGTGATAGTCGGGTGAGTAAAAATAATTAAATATCTAGACGGCCTTAGCAAAACACAATGCATGCGACAAACTAGTATATATAGAACACACTGTGAAAATTGACATTTGCTAAAACTTGCATTGTTTTGAATAAATTCTAAAACTAATACAACTACTCTAATAATACTTTCCTAAATTGTTAATATCAGTATTACATCAACCACTTAGTCATCTTTAAGTTTTAGCCGGGGGGCCGTTTGTAGGGGTAATTATGGGGGTTATGGTATGGTACCGGGAAGGGAATTCGGGTAATCAGGAGGGAATAAACAGGGTAATGCTAATAGGTTAGGAATAGGTGTGTCTGGACCAAACTTAATTTAAGCGTGCTGAATCTGCTACCAATAAAATTAGGAAGATTGCTGGGGACCAGAGGGACGGAGACCTTTTACCCAGATCAGAACACTTGACTATCCAGTTTTGATTTGCACTAATTGAACTAAATATTTAAGTATTAACCTATCCTTCCAACTATGAACTGAACTTGGATAATTACTTACTAATATTGATGAGTGAGTGAAATAATATGTAAATTGAATACTGAATGGTAATATGTATGAATTTGATTGATAATTGCTAAGCTACATTCTGGGAACATGTGGTTTAGTTTTTCATGTTTGAAAAGGTTGGTTGCAGAAGGCAACCAACCGACTGAGTTATGATTTCCTACATTTCAATGGTCGGGTGAGCCAGAAAGGCTCCCCGCTTGTTACCTGACTTAGCCAACCATAATTGGTACTTATATCTATCTACATAACTAAACTAATTGTAACTTATCAGTTTCGGGTCACGGTCCTAGAAATTGGTTCTTGTTTCGTTTCAAGATGCCGAAGTTGAAGAGGGAAATCAGCCAAGACGGGCAAGAGTAGGAATCCTACAGAACAAGAGTAGGAAGGTGGGGATAGAGCGTTGATGTAGTCGCGGCAGGCAACGAGATAGTCATGCAGCCCGGCTTCGCGAAATGCACACACTATATAAAATATAGCGTGTCGCTATGCGTCACAAAGGATCAGACCAACATTCATGATTTTTTGCAATCGTTATAGAGGTAGACATTGCTAGATTTCTGTCCCCCCTTATTGGAATTTTTTTGTGAATTCTTTCTCAACTTAGCATTTTTGAAAGCTCAAAAACAATGTAAAAATTATTATAAAAAATTCAGATGACACGACTCTTTTACTACCAAACAAGCCACCACAAACTCTACATGTAAAAGTACTATATTTAACTGGCAAGGCACTCCAATGCTCACTTTAAAATGATTCGACTATACATCCTTCTAAAACAACCCAGATAAATTTTTATCAGAAAATGGGAAAAATCCTGAAACTCCACATATTTTAGTTTAAGCAAACACAAAACTGCTTTGAGGATTTATGCTGACCTGTCATGGACCAATCATATTCATGAACTAACCAGGAAGCTCTCATTGGGAAGACACACAGTAAAGAGGATGATGTGGATTGAAGGAATAGAATCAGCTATTATACAACAGCTATTATGGCAGCGTAATATGCCATGGTGGAATCACACATTAGGTACAGGCTGATTTGTTGAGGTAGCACCTCTGACAACAACCTCAATAAATCCTGGTGGCTCAGAAAAATACTTTTAGGATACTCTCTGGCCTCGATTCCTCAGTAAGCTGTAGCCTTTAAATCCCTCAAAGATTTAACAATTCCAGCACTCTATGTTCATGAAGTAGCAATGTAAACAAGCAAGCTAAATCCTCCTAGGAATCAGGATTTTCACAACACCATACTAGAGGAGCTAGAGACTACAGCCTTCCCATCCTCCTCACCACACAATTCAGTAAGAGACCATCGTATAGGCCTATTAGCTGCAAAATTTCTAATTCCCTCACACTGCACATAAAAACCTATCAGGAAAAAACTGAAAAAGAACTTTGCAACTTTCACTTGTAAATCAATCGGTGCACTCAATCAAGTAGTTTTTTTGCCAAACAAGATAATAGAAAACCAAAGAAACTACCTCAATAATCGTTGTAAACCAAGATCAATTTTATATTCTTTATCGTAATTTTCAATAGTATTTTAAATCATAGGAATGATACAAGACCAAGAGGGCAAAGTACAGATGATAATGCCGCCAACACAACACTGAAAGTATGACGCCAGTCAGCTACTTGCTCGAATGTGATTATGTGTGTAGAACAGGCCTGTTTCTTTAAAAAAAACCCCCGTTTATGTATATGTGTATATCGCGTGTGACAGTTTATGTTATGTCTATTAATGACACCATAAAGGCGGAACGACTGATGATGGCACAGAGTTGCTGAAACGACTGTAACATTTGTTACACTACTAGGAGCTGATTGACAAAGGTAATTCTATTTATTTAATGATTCAGTCAAAGAAAAAAGTACAAAAAAAAGGAAAAAGTACAACGTACCTAAGCCTAAATATAATGTATTTATATAAATGCATTATTAAAAACTAAGTACCCTTTTTTAATTCATTTTATTTAACAACGTGTATTTAATATGTATTTAATATGTAATTTTAATTTCTTGCTTTGTAGAATAATTAAATTTAGGTATCGAGAAAAAAATGAGTCAGGTTTATTAATTTCCCAAAACAGATCTTGTAAATTGTAGTATTTTTGTTGACAGACAGCACTGCATGTAAGCGCAGAGCATGGGTTTGTGGGTAACGTGATGGTGCTGCTGGCTCACAACGCAGACATGCTAGCACGGGACTCTACTGGTCTGACACCCCTCGACATTGCAGAGAAGGGTGAACATGCAGAGTGTATGCAGGTCCTCAAACAGGCGGCCGGTGAGTGCAGATGTCTGGAACATTGATTTGTGAGTCTCATAGTAGATCGTACGACAGGTGTGTCAACTCGATAATACAGTAGACCCGATACTTAAGACTTCAGATAATCTGATTATCCAAAAAGTAACGTTTCTAAATCTTTCCGATATTTACTTGTGAATGTGCAATGTTCCTGGCTAAATCTGTTAAATATTTCTTGAGTAACCTCCTTCAGATACAAATGAAGAAACCCAAACAATACTATTTTTGTAAAAGTGTCATGTGCATGTTAGACATGTTAGAGTGATCAGTAAATTTACTGTACTCCAGCTGATTTTACCGTGCTTCAGCTGACTTTACCAAACTCCAGCTGATTTTAGTCTTTACTGTACTCCAGCTGAAATTACTGACGGTCGCTTTCTATAAACAATGACTTTCTCGTGTACAAAGAATACAGAATCCAGCTTCTTAATGTTTTTAGTGTGGTGGAAAAAATCATAACATTTAAGACAATTCTATAGATTGCTATAAAAAGATATAAAATTATTTATCTTTTCGTGAATGTACATTTTACATAATATACTTTTGATTTTTTTAAATCCCAAGAAGTTTTACGTATTCTGAAATTATAGTTACTATAAGGTATCACAAAAATTTTCACCTAGTGGAGCGAGCTATTCTAGTGAAAGCATCTAAAGATGTTGTACAACTGACAAGTTAAGCAGTGTATGCGTAAAGGGATCTTGGGTTTTGTTCTATGGTGTTTTGTCTCTCATAAAACTAAATTTGAATGGACCTTTGCCAGACACTGTAAAAACATCTAGAGACATCTATTTGATAATGTCTTGATGTGTTCGATGCAGTGTGTGTCCAGGGCCAGATTTAGCATTTTGGCGCTAAGTTGGTTTGGGTAAAGTTACTTTCCCTCAAATTGTTATTAAAAAACTATCAGGCATAATTTCTTTAATACCACTCCACGATGCAATGAAAGTTTTATTATTGCAAGTTTTTGGAAGAATTTACTTGGCTCTGGCCTTAACAAAATGCCATCTTAAACACTTATTAATTTTATGTATTTAATAGTAAGTTCACGTTTGTGGGATAGAGACAAAGCAATCTGATTAACCCACAGAGCATTCCAGCAAAAAAACCATGGCCATTGATGCTGCCGCAGTGGTTTCAAATCTCAGACCAAAAACATGAACTCCATACATTACGTAATACCATAGATTAAACATACTTCCTTAAGGCCTTTTCACACCGGCGTACTGGACGTGCTACAGGAACTACCAAAACGTCCACTTGTTCGTTTGCAGTCAGACAAGTAACACCCTCACTCGTTTCTAGCGTATTGATGTTAAGTGCATTTGTTACCTGTGTATATACAGTATGTCTCATCCATAAGTTCCTTGGTGTGAGCCTGGGTTTTCTGTGCCATGGGTTAATGAACAGAGTGATAGTGATAGTGATGATGACCTTATGTTGTTATACTTGGTTACGAAAAGGAGCAAGTGGGTCATCCCAGATAACAGGATGATTACGAACTTCTTCAATTAACGCTTCCATGGTACACCAGCAGCGCCAAACACTAGGAACACCAAACACCAGCAACAAACACAGCAGACCCAACGATGTGCAGACCATGTGGCGGATGAGCACGTGGTTTTGAAGTGTTCACATTTTTTGCCAACATCTTTTTTGCTCCCAAGATTTATCTATAAATTATCAACCACGTAGAATGTACTTACAATGGGTAATCAGGGTAATCTTTTTTAGTTTTTTCATGGGTAATATCACAGCCACCTCTAATGCAAGGCCGCGGCGAGCAAAAAGTAGCAACGTCTCATCTTGGTCTTGGCGCTCGGTCGTCTTTTACCATTACAGTGACTGGAAGAGTCGCGTGCCGACGTACTTATTCGCGTTTATATTACCCTTAATCATTAGTAATGACATTGAAATTGCTACTGCATCATGCCAGATAGATGTGTTGTGCCTGGGTGCAAGAGTGTAACGTGCCTATTTTGAGGGGGGGTCAAACTAGCCTACTCCTAGGTCTAGCCTATCCCTAGGCATAGCCTACCAGCCCTAACTAAGGTTATAGGTTAGAAGGCTAACCTTAGTTATAACATCACTAGTAACTATAGGCATGATACACTGTTGTGTTTGGTAATAAATAAGTGTAGAACGAGAGTTATTAATACTGTATATGCGTGGCATAAACCTTATACAGTGTTTTATAGCTTATTGACTCACCAGTGATGTGTTTCGCAAGCTAGGGCTCAACCCGGCTTGGTACTTTGAAGAAACTTTCTACACTTAGTAAACCCGCAGATCATGGCCTTAGGCCAATAATCCGTCTCAAAGACGTGAGGAAATGCGGTGTGAGTAATATAAACCGACAACTTGAAATTAAAACTCATTGTCGTGTGAAACAAACACAACATAACCTACAGTCAACAACAACAACGAGCTCGAGTGTTAGCGGCTGCAGACGACGGCGGCCGGCTAGCTTTTTTCGGGTTAAGAAACAGCAGACGTTCCTGAACAGCTGAGCCCCCTACTTTGTTAGAGAGGGGAGCGAGAGGGATGAACCGAGGAACCCTCAGACGGCAAGTAAGAAAGTTAGTTCCTCACCAGCCACGACTACGAACACTCGAGAGCTCTTACGTACTAAAGTAGAGTACCGAGATCGTCGTTGTAGCGTAATCAAAAGGTTATTGTAGAAATAATAAAGTGGACTGTATATGGGTTATTAATTTAATTTTGACAACAGAAAATAATGGACTTTTGGTTTAATTTTTAACACTGAACTATAGTTATGTTACCACTTTGACGTTATTAAGGTCTTGAAAGAAGATCTGGTCGAATGTTGGCTCTAGTCGAGAAGATAATATGTTTCATTAATGTCCAAATGTTCTCACAGTAGGTACACAGAATTTAGTCAAATTAAAAAAGGTTTATTTAATGAACACAAAAGGAAAAGGTAAATGAAATAAGTCAAAATAAAAGGAGAGAGAAATGAATTATGTTACACAAAGAAACGATATTACAAGAGAGAAAAATTGCACTTCTTGAACCAGAATGTTTACCTTGGAATGTTTACATTTTTTAAAATTTTATTATTGGATTGTTGTTGACATGTGGGGATTATTTTAATATGCTCATGTGGTCAGCTGGCCTTTTACTGAACATACCGGCCTCCATAAAACGATAGTTTTATAACAATGAACACCAAATTTTACAAAAAACGGAGCACTAAAGAATATTCTGAATGTTATTTACAACTATTTACAGGAGGTTTGTCTTTGAATTTACGTGTTAGCTTCTTAACCGGCTTCCCACACGAATTATGCCGGAAGCATCCAGAAAAGGGTCTAAGGGTTGAAGATTAGGTACTGGGTGTGTTTTTGAGAAGTAGAGTCAATTCATTCGTAAAACATGTAGCTTGGACACACTTGATGATGGTACGCTCTGAGTTCTTAAGTTCAGAGACGGTGAGATGCCCATGTCTTCGGTCAGAGCTACGTGCATTGTGGATAAACTGCAAGACATAGCTTGTTACTCTAAGTAGTTTGGACCACGATGAGTACTTGGAGAGAAGATCCCATTCTGGAGGTTGGGTTGAAACTAGGACATTTAGAGGAGTAGTTTTACATTCTTGAGTGTCTTGCAAGTTGATGGGAGCGAAACGATTAGTTGGCCAACGATCATTTGAAAGAGTTAACCATGGAGGGCCATTCCACCATAGAGGATGATCAATGAGTTGAGTGGGAAGCAAACCACGTGACGCACAATCAGCGGGGTTGTCTGTTGAGGGAACGTAGCGCCAGGAGTGAGAGGGGATCAATTCTTGGACTTGAGCAACTCTGTTGGCAACATACGTTTTAAGTCGATATGAGGGGGTGTGTAACCAAGTGAGGGTTACTGATGAATCACACCACAATGTAGTTTGAGAAAGGTCAATCTTTTCTTTGAAAATTGTACAACAGTAAGTTGTGAGTTTTGCAAGTAAGTGTGCACCACATAGTTCCAAGCGGGGTAGAGTAACACGTTTCAAAGGAGCTACACGTGTTTTTGCAAGAATCTGACGAGTGATGATTTCTCCAGTTGAAAACTCACAGCGGAAGTATAAGACTGCTGAGTATCCTAATTCGGAGGCATCTGAAAATCCATGGAGTTGTAAGGAACATGTGGTAGTGAAATAGAACGAGAGGTTTCATCAACGAAAATGTGCCATTTTTCGGCGAGTTCATTTGGAAGAGTGTCATCCCATTGGATACCCTGTGACCAGAGTATTTGCATGAGGGTTTTTGCCCACATGGTCACGGGTGACAGAAATCCGGTAGGGTCGAAAATGCGTGCTATAATGCTCAGCACTGATCGTTTTGTAGGAGGACCATCAGGGAGACTTAAGTTGTAGGTGAAACAATCTGAAATGGGTGACCAATGTAGTCCAAGAATGGCAAAATGAGGGTGATTAGTGGCTTCCAAAAATACTGGTGTTTCTAGATGATCTTGAGGCAAATCTTGGAGTAGTTCTGGGCAATTGGATGTCCATTTTCTTAGCTCGAAACCACCACGTGCAAGAAATTCAATCAGCTGATCTCGTAGTTCTTTAGCTTCGTTGAGAGTATGAGCTCCACAGATGACGTCATCCACATACGTATTTTCCCGTAAAACTTTGGCTGCTGCTGGGAAGGACCCTCCTTCGTCGTCAGCAAGTTGATGTAACGTTCTGATGGCATGGAAAGGTGAACTGCTAAGACCGTATGTAACTGTCGTTAATTTGTATGTGGAGATTTCTTGAGTCTTTGGATCACGCCATAGAATTAACTGATACTTCTGGTGGTCAGGATGAACTTGAATGCAACGATACATTTTCCTTATATCGCAACTGAACACATAATTATGCGAACGAAAATTCAACAAAATGTCACAAATGTCAATTTGAAGTTTGCGACCGGTTAAAAGAATATCATTTAGTGAGACACCGGTACTGGTTTTGCAACTACCATCAAAAA